TTCAGTATCTTGATTGGTATTGCATTGAATGTATAAATTGCTTTTGGGAGAATGGACATTTTGATGATATTGATTCTTCCAATCCATGAGCATGGAAGATTTTTCCATTTCTTGGTATCCTCTTCTATTTCTTTCTTTATGATTTTGTAATTTTCATCGTAGAAATCTTTTTTTTTTTTTTTTTTGACAGGCAGAGTGGACAGTGAGAGAGAGACAGAGAGAAAGGTCTTCCTTTTGCCGTTGGTTCACCCTCCAATGGCCGCCGCTGCAGCCGGCACACCGCGCTGATCCTGGCAGGAGCCAGGAGCCAGGTGCTTTTCCTGGTCTCCCATGGGGTGCAGGGCCCAAGCACCTGGGCCATCCTCCACTGCACTCCCTGGCCATAGCAGAGAGCTGGCCTGGAAGAGGGGCAACCGGGACAGAATCCGGCGCCCCAACCGGGACTAGAACCCGGTGTGCCGGCGCCGCAAGGTGGAGGATTAGCCTATTGAGCCACGGCGCCGGCTCCCATCGTAGAAATCTTTAACATCCTTGGTTAAGTTTATTCCAAGGTATTTGATTGCTTTGTAGCTATTGTGAATGGGATTGATCTTAGAAGTTCTTCCTCAGCCGAGGCATTTCCTGTCTATACAAAGGCTGTTGATTTTTGTGCATTGATTTTATATCCTGCTACTTTGCCAAACTCTTCTATGAGTTCCAATAGTCTCTTAGTAGAGTTCTTTGGGTCCCCTAAATAAAGAATCATATCATCTGCAAAGAGGGATAGTTTGAGTTCTTCCTTCCCAATTTCTATCCCTTTAATTTCTTTTTCTTGCCTAATAGCTCTGGCTAAAACTTCCAGAACTATACTGAATAGCAGTGGTGAGAGTGGGCATCCCTGTCTGGTACCAGATCTCTGGAAATGCTTCCAACTTTTCCCCATTCAATAGGATGTTGGCCGTGGGTTTTTCATAAATTGCTTTGATTGTATTGAGGAATGTTCCTTCCACACCCAGTTTGCTTAGAGTTTTCATCATGAACGGGTGTTGTATTTTATCAAATGCTTTCTCTGCATCTATTGAGATAATCATATGGTTTTTCTTCTGCAGTCTGTTAATGTGGTGTATCACATTGATTGTTTTGCGAACATTGAACCATCCCTGCATACCAGGGATAAATCCCACTTGGTCTGGGTGGATGATCTTTCTGATGTGTTGTTGCATTCTATTGGCCAGAATTTTATTGAGGATTTTTGCATCTATGTTCATCAGGGATATTGGTCTGTAATTCTCTTTCAATGCTGCATCTTTTTCTGGCTTAGGAATTAAGGTGATGCTGGCTTCATAGAAAGAATTTGGGAGGATTCCCTCTTCTTCGATTGTTCTGAATAGTTTGAGAAGAAATGGAGTTAGTTCTTCTTTAAATGTCTGGTAGAATTCAGCAGTGAATCCATCTGGTCCTGGGCTTTTCTTTGTTGGGAGGGCCTTTATTACTGTATCAATTTCTGTCTCAGTTATGGGTCTGTTTAGGTTTTCAATGTCTTCCTGGTTCAATTTAGGTAGGTTGCATGTGTCCAGGAATCTATCCATTTCTGATAGGTTTCCCTGTTTGCTGGCATACAAGTCCTTGTAGTAATTTCTGATGATTCTTTTTATTTCTGTGGTGTCTGTTGTTACATTTCCTTTTTCATCTCTGATTTTATTGATTTGGGTCTTTTCTCTTCTTTTTTTAGTTAGTTGGGCCAATGGGGTGTCAATTTTGTTTATTTTTTCAAAAAACCAGCTCCTCGTTTGGCTGATTTTTTGTAATGTGTTTTTGGATTCAATCCTGTTGATTTCTTCTCTGATTTTAATTATATCTCTTCTCCTACTAGATTTGGGTCTGGTTTGCTGCAGTTTTTCTAGATCCTTGAAATGCATTGAAAGCTCATCTATTTGGTACATTTCCAATTTCTTGATGTAGGCACCTATTGATATAAACTTTCCTCTTAACACTGCTTTTGCTGTATCTCATAAGTTTTGGTATGTTGTGCTGTTATCCTCATTTACTTCCAGAAAATTTTTGATTTCTCTTTTAATTTCTTCTATGACCCATTGTTCATTCAGCAGCATGTTGTTCAGTCTCCATGTGTTTGCATATGCTCTAGGGATTCCTGAGTTGCTAATTTCCAACTTCATTCCTTTATGGTCTGAGAAGCTGCATCGTATGATTCTAATTCTTTTGAATTTGCTGAGACTTGCTTTATGGCCTAATATGTGGTCAATCCTAGAGAAGGTTCCATGTACTACTGAGAAGAATATAAATGCTTTATGTGTAGGATGAAAAGTTCTGTAGATATCTGTTAGATCCATTTGGGCTATAGTGTCGATTAAATCTTCTGTTTCCTTGTTGATCTTCTGTCCTGTTGATCTGTCTATTTCTGAGAGTGGAGTATTGAAGTCCCCCAGTACAATTGTATTGGGGTCTAAGTCTCCCTTTAAGTCCTTTAACAAATCTTTTAAATAAACCGGTGCCCTGTAATTCGGTGCATATACATTGATAATCATTATATCTTCCTGTTGAATTGATCCCTTAATCATTATATAGTGCCCCTCTTTGTCTCTCCCAACAGTTTTTGTGGTAAAGTTTATGTTGTCCGATATTAAGATGGCTGCACCCACTCTTTTTTCATTTCTGTTGGCATCGTATATCTTTTTCCAGCCTTCCACTTTCAATCTGTATGTATCTTTGTTGGTAAGATGTGTTTCTTGTAAGCAGCAAATAGATGGGTTTTGTTCCTTAACCCAATCAGCCAATTTGTGTCTTTTAACTGCACAGTTCAGGCCATTAACGTTCAATGTGACTAATGATAAGTAGTAACTTTGCCCTGCCATTTGCCAAAGATATTTTCTAATATATGTTTTGAACTTCCTGTGATCTTTTGCTGTGAGGTTTCCTTCCTTTACCTTCTTTCATATTGATGACCGTGTTTCTGTGTGTAACACATCTTTAAGCATCTTTTGCAGGGCTGGATGAGTGGCGACAAATTCTTTCAGTTTCTGTTTGCTGTGAAAGGTCTTTATTTCACCTTCATTCACAAATGAGAGCTTTGCAGGATATAATATTCTGGGCTGGCAGTTTTTCTCTTAGTACCTGGGCTATATCTCGCCATTCCCTCCTAGCTTGTAGGGTTTCTGATGAGAAGTCAGCTGTGGGTCTAATTGGAGATCCTCTGAGAGTAATCTGACGTTTCTCTCTTGTACATTTTAGGATCTTTTCTTTATGTTTCACTGTGGAGAGTTTAATTACAACGTGTCATGGTGAGGATCTCTTTTGGTCATGTTTATTAGGGGTTCTATGAGCTTCCTGTACTAGGATGTCTCTGTCCTTCTCCAAACCTGGGAAATTTTCTGCTAGTATCTCACTAAAAAGGCCTTCTAATCCTTTCTCCCTCTCCATGCCTTCAGGAATTCCTCGAACCCGAATGTTGGTTTTTTTAATGGTATCCTGAAGATTCCCGACAATGTGTTTTAGATTTCTAATTTCCTCTTCTTTTCTTTGGTTTGACTGTATATTTTCCTGTGCTCTGTCTTCTAAGTCCGATATTCTCTCTTCTCCTTCACCCATTCTGTTTTTAAGGCTCTCTAATGTGTTTGTCATTTGATCTATTGAATTCTTCATTTCATTATGATTTCTCGTCACTATCACAGTTTCATGTTCTACTAGTTGTTTCATTTCATTTTGATTCCTCCTTAATATTTCATTTTCGCTGGAGAGATTTTCTATCTTGTCCATTAAGGATTTCTGTAGTTCAAGAATTTGTTTTTGAGAACTTCTTAATGTTCTTATCAATTTTTTGAGATCCGCTTCTTGCATTTCTTCTATCTCATCATCTTCATAATCTTGAATTGGGTTGTCTTTTTCATTTGGGGGCGTCATAGTGTCTTCCTTGTTCTTGTTACCTCGGTTTCTGCGTTTATTTTTTGGCATATTGGAGATATTTGGTTTCTTCGCTGTGGTGTTTTTTCTTGTTATACTATGACTCTAGATTAAGTGGACTGTCTGCTTTTGATGGATCCTTAGAGGCTGTGATGGGTGTGGCCAGAGAGCTCTGGTTCTTCAGGGTTAAGGGTGTGCCAAAGGTGACTCACCCAGACTGTTCTCTCTCTCTCTCTCTCTCTCTCTCTCTCTCTTTTTGGCTTAGTTGGGAAGTAATTCCACACAGCTGAGTGGAATTGAGGGTAGTTGATGTATGAAATCTGGCCCCTGTGGGTATTTGTCTGCTTACCCCTGGGACCACACAAAGAGTTTATGCAGCCCTCAGTGTGGTCTCAAATTTCTCTGCAGTCTCTCACTGGGTTGCCAAGGTTACCGAGTTTGTGTACTCGGTGAGTTTTCTCACCCTCCCCTCAGATTTTCACAGTCTCATTTCGTTAGCTCCACACTTTCACTAGGTCTTAACCTCCTGTTATTTCTCCCCACCAGAGTCAGGTTTTTCTGCTTGGCTAATGGCGGGCGCTGCTTTGCATACATAAAATGGTGCCTGCTCTTTGTCTTGCTCGGCTTTGTAAGGTGAGTGGAGAGAGAGGCTAATGTCCATGTCGGTTCCCCTTATTTATTTGTTTTTTTCTCTCCTCCAGTCAGCCTGGTGAACTTTCCCCAGTGGGGCTTCAGACCTCGTTCCCTGTAGGCTCTTTCTGTCTTTCCCCACCAATGTCTTGGGTTACCGAGGTTTTTGTCTCACCTCTCCTTCCAGCGCTGGCACGCAGACTCTGTGGCTCGGCTCCCGCGGCTCGGCTTCCACGCGGTGGGTGACCTTGCTCTCCCCGTAGGTCCTCCATGTCACATCCACTAGATCTAGAAGAGTTTCCTCTGCAGTTTTTTCCTGGCCCTTTTACTGAGGCTACAGTAACTCCACTTTTATTAAACTATCTTTTCCCAGACTATCGGTGTGCGCCCTCATTATTCCACCATCTTGGCTCCACCCGGCTTTGTGCTTTTTGATGACTACATAATATTCAATTGTCATGTTCCCCATATAGTGCTTGGCATCAAGAAAATACAGCAAAAATGTAATAATGGAAGAGCTTATAGCTAAATTCCTGCCAGAAGAACTCAAGGAACGAAGGAGGCTTTATGAAGAAGAAATGGAAGAACTTTCCAAGTATGTATACGTGTGTTTTTATTTCAGTTTCATTCATACCAGCTCATGAGAGCTGAGTGTGCACATTTCTTCCCAGCTCTTCATTCAGTGGTATCACATCGGTAGCTTGAAATTGGCCATGGAGAGAATATCTATACCATGAAAATCAGCAAATGCTGCACACCAGGGCTTCCTCCACCTAATGTGGAGAGCCAGTTGTTAAACACTTACCAGCAAACCAGGCAAACCACTCACCAGGACATGTCTTGGCACCAGGAGCAATGTGTCACTCATAGGAGTTAATTGGAATAGTTTAATCAGAGGAATTGACAAAGCATCCAGAAGACCATCTTTAACTACAAAAGGAGGTGTTGTGAGGTTAAGAATGTTGGTTTCAGCCAGACCTGGGCTTAAGATTCAGTTCCTTCACAAAGTGAGAATACTTCAGGACCCTGGGCAGGTCACTTAAACTTTCTGGACCAATAGCTTGAGGATGCTGATAGTTCTTACTTGGTGGACTTGTTAGGAAGAGCAAACGAGTTAGTGCATAGTAAGTGCTTAACCAGTGGCATGGTACTAGTGCTTGTTATATGCTTCCTCTGCCATCATGCACAGGTAGTATGACAGGTGCTAGGTAGGGATGGAGGTATCGCTGAGGCTCCAAGATCTCTGCCTGGCTGAAAGAACAGCTCATTCAGCAGCAAAAGCCGGGGGAAATCAGTAATTTCTGTCTCTCTTACTACTGCCCTTCCCTTAGCCCATCCTCAGGAGCATCTTCACAACATTCTGGATGTGAGGTTCCTGATGGCAAAAATTGTTCTGATTTTATGCCCACCCTGTACAGAGGATTTCTAAACTCTGCCACCAGTTTGGTTGAATGTGCCTCTCTCTTTGAATAATGTTTTCCTCAAATACTAAATCTTTGCCTGTTCTCATCAAATTCTTTTTTATTATTATTTATTTGAAAGGCATAGGTATAGAGAGGCAAAGGCAGAAAGAGAGAGAGAGAGAATTTTCCATCCACTGGTTCACTCCCCAAATGACTGCAACAGCTGGAGCTGAGCTGATCAGGAGCCTGGAGCTTCTTCCAGGTCTCCCACATGGGTGCAGGGGCCCAAGGACTTGAGCAATCTTCCACTGCCTTCCCAGGCATGCTAGCAGGGAGCTGTATCAGAAGTGGAGCAGCCAGGATTGGAACCAGAACCCATATGGGATGTCGGCAGTGCTGGCCACCTAATTCTTTTTTGCATAACCTTTTTGAAGTCCCTTCATATCTGTCAGTCAGTCAGTCTAGGTTCAGTTGTTCCTGCATTGAATTTACTAGACAAATAACAGCAGGTTCCCCAGCAAGTCTGCATGTGTCCATCTTCAGAGGTGTTTTTTGTAAGGCAGCTTCCTGGATCCCAATTTCAGAGTTAATGCATCAGCATCTCTGGAGGTGTGGGGACCCAGTCATCTGGATTTAAGAGCTCCTCATGATTCTGGCATACTGGAGCATTCAAGCATCACTGAGCTGGATACTCTTTTTTCCCTTACATTTGTCTTTTTCCATTTTTTAAATCTGGAAACCTTTTATTTAAGGTATACAAACTTAATGCATTCAATATATATATATATACATTTAGGAATATAGTGATTCTTCCACCCTACCCTTCCTCCCACCCTTCTTCCTCCTACCTTATTTTTTATTTTTACAAAGATCTATTTTTAATTAACTTTATACACATAAGATTAACCCTGCACTAAATAAAGAGTTCAACAAATAGTATGAAGAAAAAAAAAAACCTGTTCCTCAACAGTTGAGACAATTGCTTCAGATTGCAATGGTTCAAAACCATTGCATCTCAGAGTGTCAATTCTATAGATTACCTTTTAGGTACTCTGTTAGTTACCACAGATCAGGAAGAACATATGGTATTTGTCTTTTTGGGACTCGCTCATTTCACCAAGTATGTTTTCCAGTTGCATCCATTTTGTTGCAAACGACAGGATTTCATTTTTTTTACAGCTAAGTAGTACTTCATAGTGTATATATACCATAATTTCTTTATCCATTTAACAGCTGATGGACATCTGGGTTGATTCCATATCTTAGCTATTGTAAATTGTGCTGCAGTGAACATGAAAGTACAGATATCTCTGTCATGTACTGATCTCTTTGCTTTGGATAAATTCCCCATGGGTGGGATGGCTGGATCATATGGTAGGCCTATATTTAGGTTTCTAAGCTATCTCCAGATTGTCTTTCACAGTGGCTGTACCAGTTTACATTCCCATAGATTACTCTTGCCTGTCTCTTGCTCCCTCCTCCAAGCTGGGCCTGATATGCAGATTCCCTGGGGGAGGGAGCTTTGCAAATTTGAGATGCCCAAATGGACCTTGCAGAGAATTTCCCACCACCCTTCTGGAGAGCTGGGTCCACTTACACCATCATTATCCTTCCCCCTACTGCCTGTACAACACCTGAAGATAATTGTTTCAAGAGCATGAAAGAAAGCAAAAATGAGGCATGGCTTATCACCCATGATGTGAAGGTAATTGAGGACTTCTTCAGACAGATTAGATTGTGTGCAATGCCAATTTCAATCTCTTAGCCCTCATGCTGACCTTTGTACCAGATTAGTAAGACTCAGCTCACAGCATCAATTGCATGTCATCATTTATTGATCAGCCATAAAAATTGGATGGCTCTTTGTCTTCCCTCCATGGGAAACCATGTGCTGACATCTGATGAGTCTTTCTGTGTTCTGCCCCATTGCTTTGAGATCCATCTAATTTATTCTTCTTGACAGCTTAAATAAGAACGTGCCTATTTTCGTGTGTACTATGGCCTATCCCACTGTTCCTTGTCCCCTGCACATCTTTGAGCCTTGTTACCGCCTGATGATTCGTAGATGCATTGAGACAGGCACGAGACAGTTTGGCATGTGCCTTGGAGATCCTGTTAAAGGGTAAGTGAAGAGCCCTGTGAGTAAAGGGAGGTTGGGTGGGGAGAGACTGGGGTTTTATTTTAGGGTGTCCCCAGGAGGCAGGGTGGCCTAGCTCATGACCTTTAGCCAGCTCAAGAATATGAGCATTTGTAAGGACCAGGCTCTCTCTGGCACCTAGTTCACCATGAAACACTGCTTATTTAAAAGAACCCCAGGATTAAGCTTCTTTTTAAGAAAAAGATTTATTTATTTTTTATTTATTTGAAAGAGTTGAGAGAGAGAGCGAGAGGGAGGATGAGAGAGAGAGAGAGAGAGAGAGAGAATCTTCCATCTGCTGGTTCACAGCTCATGGCTGGGGCTGGACCAGGCCGAAGCCAGGAGCCAGGAGCTTCTTGCAAGTATCCCACATGGGTGGCAGGGGCCCAAGTACTTGGGTCATCTTCCACTGCTTTCCCAGGCACATTAGCTGGGAACTGGATTGGAAGTGGAGCAGCTGAGACTGGAACCTGTGCCCATATGGGATGCCACCATTACAGGATGGCCCCCTCTTAAATGTGTCATCTCTGAATACTGTTAAGCACTGGCACATAGTATGTACTTAATAAATAGTAGCAGTTACAGCAATGTATTATTTTTTTTTTTGTTTCACACAGGCATTACCTGATGTGCTATAGCCATAGACCAAGGACAGGCAAATAGGCAGAAGTCCTTTGTGGCATAGCATGGGGTAACATAAATGGCCAGGGGACAGGCCAGGAAAATAGAGCTTGTCAAGGATCTACTTTCTTAATTCTTTTCTCAATAAACAGGTTTGCAGAATATGGATGCATTCTAGAGATCAGAAATGTTCAATTCTTTGCTGATGGCCGCTCAGTGGTCGACAGCATAGGCAAGAGACGCTTCAAGGTGCTGCATCAGGGCCAGCGGGATGGCTACAACACAGCTGACATCGAATACATTGAAGACCAAAAGGTGAGGGTGGCCAGTGCCAAGAATGCCAAAGCAAAGCTCTCCCTGTAACTTAGCAGATGGTTGTAAAATGATTCCTCAGAACTACTGGGGACCTTGCTGCTTCTCACCAAATTGCTGCAGCAACGTTGAATGCTGCTGGTTTGTTGCCCAATTGCAGTGAGAATGCGCATTGTCCTGACTCAATCTGCTTAGCTGCTGAATTGCATTCATATGTAAGAAATGCTGTCCCAGACCAATTCTGGGGCCCTTTCAGTCTAGGAGTTGGGTCTCCCAGAGATACCAAAGGATAGATCTGGAGTGGGGTCTACATGTGCATATTTTTATACTGATTTATTTATCTGTATTTTAAAATGGTTTGCTTTGAGATAGTCATAGATCCACACATGCATTTGCATTTTTAAGTGTGCAACCTGGCTAAGAACCCTTCCTGGTAACCCATCATATCACAAAGCAGAAAGATGGCATATCCCGTTAATCCTTGGTTTTCTAAGCTAAAGGGTGGGAACAGAGGTACACAATCCCATGTTCATTTATCTTTACATTCACTAAATAGCAGAAGATGAGTAAGTGCATTTGACCTGGAGGAGAATCACACACTGAGACGCAGATGCATTCATGTCCCTCTTGGCAGCAAGCAATAGGAAAATAGACCTAGCAACAGAAAGGTCAGAGGCGTAAACCAGCATAACCTGCTTTGGTTACATGACTCCACTCAGACTAGACCAAATCTCTGGCTTTCTGTATGTCCTGCTGTTTCAGCTAATCTGCCCAGCTGAACCTTTTGTCCTTCCTGCAGCCAGAGCAGTGTTTGCACACGGCCCAGCACTTGTGGGGCATCTCACATCTCACTCAAAAGACAGCTGGATGGCTAAACCTTCCTATCGGGAGAGCAGGGTGGATGCTCAAAGAGAGGCAGGTGTCAAAAGCAACTCTGCGAGTGATGGAGAGGGTAGAGACGGTACAGAATGTTTCACTTTGACTTTACTAATTTCAGGTTCAGGGAGAAGATTGTGCTGAGCTCCTAGGATTACATAACTGTGTGTATGAGCAAGCGTCATCATGGTTTCATTCGCTCAAATCATCTCTGAAGAATCGGATACTCAGTCACTTTGGCCCAATGCCAGAGAAAGATGCTGATCCTCAGGTATATGAAATGTTCATTTTGACGGAGTGCTCCACCAGATGAGAATGCCTAGGCTTTGTGATGAAATGGGGGCAAGGTGGCCATCCAGCAAGTCAAGGGCAGAGAGGAAGAGGGATCTAATTTGTTATCTGGCTGGGTAATGAGCATCATGGGAAAGACTAAAAAGATTCCAAGTCAGAATTGGGGTAACTGAAGTAAAGCATGAATTTGGATCTGAGACAGGTTTTGAGAGATAACTGAGGTGAGAGAATGGGAACATAGACACCACCCAGATTTACACCATAGTGATGTCAGGGTGACAAGATGCACACAAACCTCAGGACTTAGGAGAAGGGTATGGATATCCTGGGAGCTGAGACCAAAGGCTGCCACTTCCGGGAAGCTTCACAACCCTCTTCCCCTGGCAATAGGAGCTAGGGCCAGCTACAAGATTCCAGTTCTGAGACCACAGAAACTTTGTACGTACAAGTCCACCCATGCTCAGTCTTGCAAGTCTAGTCACTTGCTGTTGTCCTCATCATGGGTGAATAGGTCTTGAGAGAACTGATCCCATGTTTAAACTTACCCTTGGCTGAGTTATACTAGGAATTTACTAGAAAGCAGTCCACTCAGTTCTCCTGGGCCAGTCTTCTTCCCGGGGCAGAATGGGGGGGACACACTCATTTGTAAGATCCAGCTGCAGATCAGAAGCTTTCCAGGAAAGTGGAGCTAGTTGTTTCACAAGATTTTTTTTAAGGGAATTCCACTTCCAGCAATTCTTTCTATAACAAGGCTGGAAATATCCTAAGCAAATACTTCCTCACCACCACTGTTTTTCATACTCTGAGCTGACTCTCCTGCAGCCTCAGTCTCATGTCTTCCTTCACCCTTTACTTCTTTTACACACTCATATCTTACTTATGCTCATTCCGATTTGCACAATAGAAAAATCTGAATCTGCATATTCTGACTCCCCTGCCAAAAGACTTTAACTTTTCTTCCGTCTCTGAAAGGAGAGAAGTTGATGAGGAAGTCTCTAAAGCCTCCTCTTCCTCTTCTATTCTGGGGTTCTAAAACACAGTGTTGTTCCCAAATGGGCTAAAATGCTTTGCTTTCAGGGCCAGTGTTGTAGTGCAGCAGGTTAAGCCTCCAGTTGCGATGTTGGCATCCCATATGGCTGCATCCCTGACTGCTCCATTTTATTTTTTTTAAGATTTATTTATTTGAAAGTCAGAGTTACATAGAGAGAGGAGAGGCAGAGAGAGGCCTTCCATGTGCTGGTTCACTCCCCAATTAGCCACAACAGCTGGAGCTATGCTGATCTGATGCCAGGGGCCAGGAGCTTTCTCTGGGTCTCCCATATGGGTACAGGGGCCCAAGGACTTGGGTCATCCTCCACTGCTTTCCCAGGCCGCAGCAGAGAGCTAGATCGGGAATGGAGCAGCCGGGGCTCAAACTGGCACCCATATGGGATGCTGGCACTGCAGGTAGCGGCTTTACCCACTATGCCACAGTGCCAGCCCCAAGGCTGCTCCACTTTGGATCTACCTCCCTGCTAATCCATCTGGGAAAATAGTGGAAAGTGGCCCAGGTGCTTGGGATCCTGCCACCCATGTGGGAGACCCAAATGGAGTTCCAGGCTCCTGGCTTCAGCATAACCCAGCCCTGGCTGTTGCAGCCATGTGGGGAGTAAATCAGTGGATGGAAGATCTATCTCTATCTATCTATCTATCTATCTATCTAAATCAGTGGATGGAAGATCTATCTATCTATCTATATCTATCTATCTTTCTTTCTCTCTCTCTTTCTCTCTCTCCTTCCAAGTAAATAAATAAATCTTAAATAAAACAAAAAATTACCAAACTGTTTTCCAAAGGGACTGTATAGTTTATATATGTAGTTTATGTATATATACATGAAGAATCTTGCTTTCCCAGACCCACAAAGTTGGCTCACCACCACTCCCCACCCCCTACCCCATGCGACAGCATCTTGAGTTTTAAAGCACGAAAGGCCAGTTAGTGCTTGCCAGTGACCTAGCTCCTGGCTCTGCGCCACTGTGACTCAGGACTACGGCATAACTCTGAGTAAGCTCATGATCAAGCTTGATTTTCCCCGTCACCTTCTGGGAAGCATTCTCTCCCAGTCAGGCAAAAGCTAGAGCGAGGATAGCAGCATCTTCCCCAAGAGGAAACACAGATGCCACAGTGTGATTCACAAGGACTTTGGTGACACAGAAAGCTGAAATCTTGGGCTTTGTTTCCTATATGATCAGTTCTGTCAGCGTTTGTGTTGACAGTGGAAGCAAAAAGTGAAACCCATTCAGTTTGCTCCAGTCAATGCTGCAGCTTCAGTGGCCCAGAGTTAAGAATGTCCGAAGCTTCAGGAGGAGGGTTCTTAGAAACTACCCCAAGTATGAATATCAGTTTAAATGTCTTTGTTGATAATTCTAGGAAAGAAAATTCAGAAAGCCAGTCTGTTATTCAGCACTGATCACAGGAGGCAGAGCATGTAGCAGACCGCTCTCAGGGACAAAAAAAAATTTATCCAGATGAAGCAAGAGGCATGGCGAATTAAAGAAGGCAAGGAGATTTGGGGAGGATCAGATGAAGCAATTTGGAACCCGATAATCCCAGATGGGGGTGGTTTGGCCAGAATGTGATTCCCCACAGGCCTAAAACAACTTTCAAAAGTTGTGGGAAGAACATTTATTTCAGGCTTAGTAACAAGTAAGTCAGCATTGTCTGAGATGGCTGCTCAGGAAGGTGCTTACAATCAGGATTTTCTTGAAAAGAAACCTGGGGGCAGAATCCAGGTCTAATGTGATTTTTTTTTTACCATCTAATACCTTATTTTATCTTGTTAACGTGCTATTAACACAAAGAGAATAGATTCAATGTAGTTCTTGGGTACAATTCTAAGAATATAATGATACTTCTTTCCTCTTTCTTTCTTCCTTTCTTATTTCTTAGTTTTTGAGATAACACTCTAAGTTTCATAGTCAAGGGCTTAATGCCCTGTGATTATTTTAAAATTTACAGTGTATGGGTGATATGGTCATCTTTCCCATTTGATGATTGTTTATAGCCCTTGCCTATATTCCTGCCGAACTAGCGACATTTTACTTTTTACCTTTTGAATGTGTTTTTTAATTGGAATTTTTGCTAAGTGGGGTTGCTGTTCTTTGGTTTCTGGAGAGAAGATAGCTGTGGCCCTACAGCTGATATGAATATCAGAACTATCATGTTCAGCCAGAGCAAAGATATGAAGGGAGCTTAAAGACATGCAAAGCCTGAGGGCTTATGGGATTTGAAGGCCTGCAAAGTTGCATATATCCGTCTAAAGGATCTCAGCAGAATCTTAGAAGTAGAAAAGACTGGGTAGTGGCTATTCTAGCTCATAAACTCACCCTGATTAGGGGACATGTTGTCTCTGCTAAGATGTTGGTTTGCTTGCCAAAATACCAAAAAGATACTTGGCCCTAATTCTTACGGCTTCAGAGCAGCTTGATTCCATGAGAACATTCAGAGACCCAGGCTCCTTCATCACAAAGCACTACCATTCTTGGAATGCTGCTGCCCTTCATTGAAGAAGACCACTTACCCACATGTCCATGCTCTAGCTAGAGGAAAGGGAGAGAAAGAGCTTGACCCAGTATCACTTCCCCTATTGCTTCCTGCTACTGCTCCTGAGCTATAACTTTGTCTCCTGGCCTCACGTAGCTGCAAGGGAGGCTGAGAAGTAGTCTTTTTTTTCCCCCTGGGAAGCTAGATCCCCAGCTAAAATAATGGGGAAATAGACACAGGGTCAGTCAGCAGTGTCGGTCACCCGCAGAGGCAGTTCCACCTGAGATGTTTACCCACTGCATTTGGAAACTTGCAGACCGATGGTGCTTACATGGGAACAGGATGAACCCTTTGTGTTTCTCTGTTGCAGATTAACCCGAATGGTCCAGCCTGGTGCTGGTGGACATTAGCCGTTCTTCCCTTGGAAAGCCGAGCTCAGCTCCCGTTCCTAGCAATGAGGTCCTTAAAGGATAGACTGAACGGTATTCGGCGAGTCCTGGCCTTTATATCCCGAAACCAAAACTAGTAAGAGTGGATGGCGAAGAGGAGCTCCCACCCTCCCCACTGCCCTGGGGGTGGGGTGCTTCTTGTAAATATGTCTAACCGCAATAACATCTTAACAGAAGGAGGTATCCAACAGAGGCATTATCCTGCTTTTGATCTCAGAACAAGATGAAGTCAAAAGACCGAAAGAATGTGACCCGTTTAAAACTTTCTGTCCTAAGATGCTTCTTGACAATGCTGCACAATCACATAAACAGCAGAGAGGTTTAAGAGCCCAGAAAAAAAATCGATTTTCACATAAAATCTTCAGAAAATTTAAAGTGATTTTTGCTTTAATTTCATTTTTTTCCTAGATGATTGTGTTTGAAATGTGAAGCAAAGATACTAATAATGTTGCTGCATGATGTCACTGACTTGAGGTCTCATTCCAAATGGTTCAGGTTTTATAGAGCATTGTGTAAAATAATGTCCATACTTCTTTCTGTTTTAATAATTTATTTTTTGCACTACTGTACCCTTTTTTTCTACATGTATGTCTGTAACTATTTAAGTGTACATTACTGAAAAGTCAGTTGCTTTATTTATTCATGTGGTTTACCATGAGTCCTAGGGGGAAGTAACAATATTAGAAATGTGCAATTTCTTGCTTTAGTTATTTTTTACTATATTAATCCCCTTCTGTATCTATCCAATTGGATATTGATATTAAGTTCGGAGTGATGCCAAGATCATCTCCCTTCACATAGTCTCCTTTTTTGCTTCAATTTGAATTAAACAAAACAAAATACTTGAGAGATTTGTCATAAATGATGGCCTATGCCAAGGTAAAGTAAAATAATCCACTTTCTGCATGTAATACAGAACAGGGCTGAAAGAACTATTTTTCTAGAATTAAGATATGAATCAGAGTAGTGTCCTTTATTAGGATCTCTTATGGGCATTGTATTTCAGCAATAGAATTAGACCTGTCTCTCATCTCTTCTCACTGCAGTTAGGAATGTGATTTTAGGTGCAATAGTATTTAACCCTGAGAAGGAATGGCTTCCAACTTGGCATATCATAGCCATGTCTCCCCCTACCCCCATCCCTGCCCACACACACACACACACACACACACACCTCTATACCCGGTTCTGATCAAGAGCTGGACTAGCATGTGTGAAAACATTTGATGAAGGATTATTTGTTATCAAAAGTATGAAGAAGCCAGATAGGTTATAACTCAAACTCTTTTTAAGGGAACCAAACAATTCATCCATAATCTTATCTAAACATTTTTTTTTTCTCCTAATTGCAATGGACCAAATATCTGAATATTGCAGGAGAATATTTGTAACTTGCTTGGCGCTACTTTGGTTCCTTGGGTATCAGGAGAACTTGAAAGTACCCTGAGTATGGGAGTGTTATAATAACAGAGTTGAAAGACTAGGGCAGGGAAGAAGTGAATTGTACCATTTTTACCTGCCTGCAAATTATCCCCCCATGTGGTTTCGGACACCTACAATGTTACTTGCTCACAGCCCATTCATTCTGTTAAGGTGAGAGGGGAATGTTTCTGGCAGTCTGACTTCCATCACTACCTGTGGCCAAAAGCAGGCAAAGGAGAGTGAGATGAGCCAGACTGAGCAGGTGAAGCATGGAAGTAAATGGAGGTATAGGCCTAGTTGCTGTGCGAGCAAACTCCAGAAGACTCTGGGAGCAAGAAATTAAAAGCTCCCCCTCCCACCTGGTGGCTGACTGTGTGGTCATAGCACGGCACTGTATGGTAGTGTCCTTATTATCTTATGTAAATGCAACAAAGAAAAGGATCAGAAGCTTCTCCACTTGCTAGGTGTGTTACTTTGGGGAAATGATTTCGCTTTTCCTGAGCCCCAGTTTCTTCATCTAGAGAACAGTAATGATAAATGAATGCTGTCTGTAGAATTGTTAGGCACCTTACATGGGATATGTGCAAATCACTTAGCACAGTGTCTTGCACATAGGAGACATTCAACAGATAACAGTTGTTACAAGAGTATAGTTTAAGAACATCATCACTGCCTTTACACACAGAACGCTCTTGGAATCGCTTTAAACTTGCTCAGCAGAGTCCATACCAATGATTTTTTAGATTGTAGCTTGGTGATTTACAGGTAAATCCATTTGGGGTTAAGTCTGTTTGGGAAGGTGAAAATAGTGGAGAAAAAAAATCAGGGTTAGAGGTTGGGGCTTATCCTATGCCAACAACCTTTTCCTCATTTCACTAAAGGCTAAAAAGTAGTGTTGCTGTGGGGTCTAGAATTTCTGATAGAATGGAAGCCTTAAGTTCTAGTTCTATTCACATAACTAACCCAGCGGTCCTTGCTCATCCAAATTAATGGAGAATCTTGCCTGTGCCTGGGTGGTTGGACTTTATAATGTGTGACTTTCATGTTTAGTTCTTGGAACAGATTCAACAAAAATGTATTGAGAAGCTACCATGTGCAAGGTACTGAATCATGCAACCACTAGCTGAGTGAATTCATGTATTTCTCATATCCACCTTGTGACAGCAGTTATTAGCGCCATATTGTGGCTGAGAAAACTTGAGGCTCTGCAATGTTGGCTACTTCACCCAAGTAACAGAACCAGCCAGTAAATGGCCAAGCTTAATTTTGAACCCATTTTTTAAAATTTTAAATAGTTTGTGTTACATACATTTTGTTAAACAGGCTTGGCAATCAAATCCCAAAAGCACCTCAGAAGGTCACAAAGGGAAGTCATGGCTTAAGTAAAGTTAATGTACTCAGCATATCTCTTATTTCCTCTGAGTGTGATTTCTTAAAATCCCACAACACAGAAAGCCTCCCCTTGATAAGTGAGTGCTCATCTCCAGTAGATGTAGATCTTGATTAGACAGAATTGCACGTACTCTCAGTAGCCTAGATACATATGCGGGTTGTTTTACCTCAAGCTTTTGTTTCAGTAGTGATGGGAGGCTAAGCCTTGACTTTTTTTGGATGTAACTGAATGGGGTAATCCATTGGACTTGACCAGTTTTATAAATTGGTTTTATTGAACATATAGGGACTAAAGAGTATATAAGAGACAGGATATAAAGGTTAATGTAGGCCTGGGCAAGGCTTCCCCCTTGCTAGATAGTGCCACTTATTGGGTTACTTTTTTTCTGTTTATCACCACTGACCCCAGTCTTTCTCTAATAAGTTATTTTCCATCTATGTGTGTAAGAGTGTGTGTGTGCACGCATGTGTGTACATGCACATGCATCATGCATATCTTAGGTAGCAAGCAGATACCATGCCTTTCTGCTTTGTACTGTACTACTACTGCTAGCTAATAACCAGCAAAATGTAGAAAATGAAGTTCAACACAAAAAAACTGTTTGTAGACAACTTGGAGGAAAAAGTGCCTGCCCCTGGCTTAGTGGGGCAGAGAATTGATTATTTCATCAATTTGCCTTTTCTGAAGGCCAACTGCTTCTAGTCCAGGGCTGCCTCGGCAGCAAGGGGCGAGTCAAGGCATTGCGCATGCGGTGCTCTGCCTGTGGAGCTGGCCTGGCTCAGATACTCCCCTGTGACTGGCCAGTGGGGCAGTGGAGCTCCGGAGGCCGGTTCACAGCGCCCAGAGGTCTCTCCCTGTTAACAAATTGTGTACTGTTGATGGACTGTAATCCACTGGGGACTGTGCTCTCCACACCTACTCCATTTCCATCATGGGAATTTGATTTGGTACTCATTCTGCAAGTTCCCAACATACTGACTTTGCATCTGTTTCTGCTCGTCAAGGCAGAACCATAGCAGAGGTGTGTGGCAAAGGTACAAATGGAAGGCAGCTCAGACTATAGAAAAGGGCAGGTTTTCAGCCCTTTCTTGGGCCTGAGGACCAAGGTTTTGATTTATGGTCGAAGACATTTTTGAAAAGCAGCCAGCTGCATAGGCTTCCCTGTGCACCACTTCCTGCGTGCAGAGAGAAGGAAGGAAAAGGAGCCATGTAAAATAGATGCATTCAATTCATCTTACCATGATAGCTCCCACCTAACTCACTCAACTGTTTAATAATATAGGGTATGCACATGCAGAGGCGAAATGAAGAAATTTTCACTCACAAATGGGTATTTAAAACACGCTAAGTTAACCTCCAGAGAGAAGTGCCTGTAATCTCTGTTCCTGTTGTCACTTTAAAGCTTTTGCTTCTTGACTCTGTAGCTGTTTCAGATTTTTTTTTGCAGCAAACGTGATTAACAGACGTTTACAAAGCAACACTGTATTTTATGCATCATTTTAAATGTTGAGTAACATCTATTGTTAAAGCAACAACAATCAACAACTTTGAAATAAAAGCAAACAGGTTAATATGGCACGATCAGCTTCTCTTAGATGAACTAGCTCCAGCATTTTATGCAGTTCTTAGTAGTGTCAGGATTACAATATCAAGCGAGCCACTGAACCAGTGGCAAATGTGTATGTGTATTTGTTATTTTTTTCATTTGTTTGTTAAGCAGCCATTTTATTCTTGCACTGTAATGAACTGAAGGGAAATTAAAATAATGCTTTCCCCCCATATTGCTATTCAACTACCTCTATAAGCTTGATTTCTTTTTAGAGTTTCCCTTCCTCTAAATCTGTACAAAAACCATTTCAGCACATCTATGTTGTAATAACAATGTGATAATAGACAATCTCTGTGAAAGTTGTTTGTTCATTAAAAAAATGTTTCCTGATGTCTCACTTTGTTTCTAACAAAACTGTATTCATACGTTTGGGAACAAATTGCCCAGCTAGTTTGAGCATTACTTGTTACTTGGTTAGAAGCTGAATACAAAAGAAAGCTACGGGAACATCTACTTCCCTCTTGCTTCTATTGGTTCTAATGCATTTGACCTAAGCTCCTTTGGGAAAATAGACCTGCACTCAGTAAAGCCCCACGCATGTGACAGTGAGGCAAGCGTGAACCAATTTGTGTGATTGATGTGTTCTGAAATACTAGCCGCAAATTAAGTGTTAGATGCTCCAGAAAAGCAGGTTACTTACAAAAAATCACGTGGAAGGTGCTTTATCAATAATATGCCCCTAGTTTATTTGCTTTGCCTGAAGCAGGACACATTACCTACTGTTTTCTTTGGCATTGTAAGATGTTCAGAAAAGCAAATTAGACATTTTATTTTACGTAAATGTTTTATCAACAATAGATGAAAGTTAAGGCCTCAACCCAGAACCTTTTCCTTTCCTCTCCTCTCCTCTCCTCTCCTCTCCTCTCCTCTCCTCTCCTC